CCACCCTCCTCTCTTCCCTCTCCCACCTCCTTTTCCCAGTCTCCCCCAGTTTTGTTCAATAAAGAGAGATTCTATTTTTGAACACATGTTTTCTTTATTTTGTACATCAGGAAGGGGGGCTAGGGAGGGGTAAGTGGAAGGAGGTGAGGGAGGAATGGGGTACGAGCCCCCGATGGGGAGGACTGGGCTGGCTCTGTGGGCTTCTGGGGGTGGAAGCTCTCCTGCAGCCCCCCAATTGCCCCCTCTCCCCAGATGGCAGCCTGCGGCAAGTGCAGCCGGTCTGATGGCCGAGTGGTGTGATGTGCCCAGTGTGGGCACTCCAAGCCAGGACTGCTTTGCAAGCGGGGCACCCCTGAGAACTGTCTTTCTGGGGTGGGAGTCGGGACCCTTTAAGCACAGCCCTCGGCTAGCCTGAGACAGCATCTCCATGCTCTAAGTCCTCCTTTTATGCCCTGCCGGCACTGCTTCCGGCCATCCTTAACCCCACTTCAGGGTCCACTTAATGTGGACGCGCTAGTTCGAATTAGCAAAACGCTAATTCGGACTAGTTTTTAGTTCTAGATGCGTTAATTCAAACTAAGCTAATTCGAACTAACTAATTCGAACTAAGTTAGTTCGAATTAGCGCTGTAGTGGCTAGAAAAAGTAGCCCCTAGCATTTAACCAACTCCTGGGTCATATTTAAACTGTCCAATAGCATCTGCAGACCCCTGAGGTGTTATTTAATTAGCTATTCATCAGAGCCCACCCATCCAACCCATCAAATTTAATTACTAAACATTAACCTCAACAAGGGTAAGTGGTCACACCTAAACCAAACCACTGACTAGAGCCCCTGGCTATTCAGTGAGGTGTGGGTAAACCATTGAGTTCATGTCTAATAAATCCTAATGGGGGAGGGGGGGTAATTTTTTCCTTTTATTTAAAAAACAAAACATTTTGAGGGGTTTTTCCTTCCCCCGAGTTTCTACCATACATCTTTCAGGGGTTTTTCAGTAAAATGGGTCCCTTTATACACGGAGGTCAAGGAGGCCCTGAAGAAAGCGCTGAAAAAGATTGTGACGTCTATAGAATCTTAGAACATTAGAACTGGAATGGATCTTGAGAGGTCATCAAGGCCAGTCCCCTGCTCTTACAGCAGGACCAAACACCCTTTAGATCATCACTGATAGATGCCTATCCAACCTGCTCTTAAATATCTCCAGATACGGAGATTCCACAACCTCCCTAGGCAATTTATTCCAGTGTTTCACCACCCTGACACGTAGGAACTTTTCCCTAATGTCCAACCTCAACCTCCTTTGTTGCAATTTAACCCCATTGATTCTTGCTTCTCAGAGACCAAGGAGAACAATTTTTCTCCCTCCTTCTTGGAACACTTTTAGATACGTGAAAATGGCTCTCATGATGCAATCCTAGCTACCGTTATAATCAATTGTAATTTTTTATAAGCATTTATTGCAAATCGCAATCACATGTGCATAACAGACACTTCACATAATAAAGTCACAGCTCACGTAGGTGTGCTTAATTATTCATGCTGTTCTATTGCTTTTATAGTAATAGAGATGTAGCCGAGTTAGTCTGGTCTTACTGAAACAAAAGTCAGAACGATGTGGCACTTTAAAGACTAACAAGATGGTTTATTAGGTGATGAGCTTTCGTGGGCCAGACCCACCTCCTCAGATCAAATTATGGAAAAAAATTGGCATGACCATATATACCAAAAGGGTACAATCAACCCTTTTAACCAGTGTAGACATTGTCTCAACAAGCTTACTACCTGCATCCTGCTTCAAAGAGGCTTTAACACACTACAGAGGGAAGCCTCTGAATTGTTATTCATGCCTAAATTTGACACTTTACGAATGGGCCTTAACAAAGATGCTAATTATCTCATCCATTACAAAGATAGCTTCCTCAGTTATCACCCTAATATCATTATCGCATAGACATTAACCTTCCTCCTCCTCATCCCTCTGTTCTAAAATCTGATTTGTCTATAAAAAAAGTGCACACATATGATAATGCATCCTTTTGGTATATATGGTTGTGCCAATTTTCTTCCACAAGTGGATTTGAGGAAGGTGGGTCTGGCATCTTGCAGCTCCGGCTCCGGGGTCTCCTGGGGCTGCCCCGTGCGCTACAGGCAACTCCCCGATGTCTCCTCCCTCGGCCCAGACATGGATCCTTCGCGTGCCCAGAGACTGACCCGGCTCCCCCTGCTCCACGTCTCCTCCCACCCTGCTGCAAGAGAGAGTGGAAGTGTGTGTGTGTGTGGGAGGGAGGGGGCGTGTCCCGGGGAGATACGAGATGACTGACGGAGAAACTCGGACCCTGGTGCTGACAGGCGGGGCCTCAGCCGTCAGTTCACGTCAGGCTGACACACATCACACAAAGTTTTAGACAGACATACGACTCATTTTTTCCATGCGCAGTCTATGTGTCTGACTAAGCACTCTTTGGATCGACAAAATAGTCTACAGCTAGGACACCTCAGCGGCACGCCCACGCTGTCTGAGCACGCTCCGCTCAAGCAGAGGCGGCAACTATACCTGCAAGAGTGGTCGTGACTGTACACGGTGTGGCAAAACTCACAATCATTTTTCGCTCCGAACAACTTTTTCGCATCCAGAACCCCATAGTAATGCTCATCGTGCAACAGGATAAAATAAGTCTTGGGGTACACCGGGCCCCCCCGGTTTAAAAAAGCCCCAGCTGCCTTTCGCCGTATACAGCACCACCTGTATGTTAACTCCTAAATGCTGTTCAAACCTTGATACGTCGCTAAGCAGAACCTTTTTTTCCATCTGACCACCCCAGTTTCTCGTGAAGCTTTCTCGCCCCCTCTAACAATTCGGCATCTGTAGGTTTACGATCGGACAGGACGGCCAAGAGCCCGCCCGCAAAACAGACTGGTACGGGTGTAAGCCAGGTCTACTAAACATGGTCTCTTTTATGAATAATTTAAATACTAAGGATAGAGTTTTAAATTCTACGAGCACCTCCCACCCGTTTTTTACAACTGTCACAAGGAGGCGCAATGTTCCATTGAGGTGCAACTCTCTATTTCTCTGGAACAGCTTTGAGGTCTGGCTTAAAAAACCCTCAGCAGTCAGCTCGTCCCTAGACCTTCTGACCGAAAACAAAGGGTTAGTTAAATTACGGCTCTCTAAACGTAACTGAACATAATCATCAGGGCCTACCCTACCATTAATGTCATCTAGAACTAACTGTATTCCCCTACGTGTGGCTTCAATAACCTGTTCAGCTGAATTTATTTGCTCAAGATTGACAAAATGAAATGCCTCACAATACACTTACCCCACAAATCTAGGTACTTCACGTTGCCAACTTCTCGCTCTCTCCACATACAACTCTGGATTTTCACAGGCACTTGAGGGTTCCTCT